AAGCAGAAGGTCAACTCCACAGTAAGTGGACTGACTGTATCAAAAACGTTTGTGCACATAAGGTAGGGTGATGCAATCGAATGAACGATGCTTCACTGTTTACCAAAAGTTTAGCATTGGGATTACACCATGGTGGTTGGAGTTAACTGTCTTGTTGTCAGGACATGCTTTGCAACAGATGACCCTTGATTTCTTGATCACTTTACCATCAGTTATCGGTTACGTCATCGATTTCACTAACAGCTTTGGAATGTGTTCGGTCATCCGTTGAGAGCTGACGGTTTGTTCTGCATATGTATGCGTCACCATGACTGAAGGTGGACTGGTGTACAGTGTGAGACAGAACCGGTTCCCCAGCCACGTTTACGACTGTCCAGATCAATTCCACGAGAAGAGGCATTGAGAGTGAGTTCAGCAATTTGGAGTGTATGGTCTAAAGCTAGCCACAAATTATGGCGCACGTCGATGTAGTTGTGATCACCTTAGCAAACTAGCTTTTTTCTAACTTTCTAACTTTTCGAAACGATCTACCGTGAATATTTATAAACATTTATGAGCAACCCGTTTAGCAATGTTCTGCACGGGAAATCCTCTTCTTCCTTCAGTGTGTCTGATGCAGTCAGTCCACTGACCGCGAAGTTGACCTTCTACCTCTATATTTGGGAATCGCTGTGTGGTTTTACACGCTCATTCACCATAATTGAACAAGCCCATATGTCATACACGTGCCTGCTCGTTTAAAGTTAGCGAATAAGAACAATAAACAAAATAATAACATCTCGCGAAATTTATCTTTTTCTGTATTGATTTATTATATACTATATTTCACACTCGTCTGAGGCCAGACGGTGTGCCAAACAAATCATGGTACAATAATCTTTATGTGGGCTGAATACTGCCAGACTGCTCAGGCCAAAGCAGGTGAATTTTTATGAGGAATCCACAACCGTAACCTTTGATCGGCCAAAGTCTGACCCCCGCAGGGCAGCGGAGCAGTGTGCAAACCATAATCAATTAGGGGCCGGTGTCCAGTTCGTCGAATCACACGCCCTTCGAAGGGAGTCAAACATCTAAGGTGCCCAATGCACCTCGAACCACAACTGAGTCGGTGACCATTGCCACAAACGGAAAGCTGTGTGGTTGGCACGCCTCCTCTTGGTTGGTTTGGAATCAAGGTTTTTGGTTCACTCTCCTAGGTGAACTTCCAGTGGTCCACCAACCTGGTTACAGACCCGGATGTTGGGTTTTCGTCCTCTCACTTTGGTGGGAAAACGCCTCCGTCAAGAAAACTGGACAAGTGTTACCACTGGGTGTGAATACTCATGAACATAGGATAAGCGCAAAAACGGCTATCTAGTACCTCCAGTGGCACAATGGTGGCAATTCACAGGTGTCATTATTTTGTAGATCACGGTTGGGTATGCGAAAACCACCCGACCAGCTAAATAGTTTTGCCTTGTTGCTGCAAGAACTGCAGTGTACTTGCAAGTCTCTGTTTTAATCAAGCGGTACGAGTTCACTTATATTCACTGTTAGTGTGGATGGAATGCATACGTTAACATGCAACTGAAGGCAGCTATTGAAGTGTGAATTCGTGTAACGTAAGGTATTATTCAGTACTCATCATAGGGATTTAAGTAGCACCGCACACTGAATAGACAAATAATACACGTTTTATTGTGTATCAAAGTCGGTGGTCTACCCAAACAACCAAAATCGATCACACTTGAAGAAGAATAAATAGATTATACTGATAATAGTTTGAAGCGTGGAAATAGTTTGGTTGCACGATTTCCAGTAGAACTTTACCATCACAGTTTGGTGAGTTTGAGGTACCGTAGGTTTATACTCCTTACGAGTAGTCAAGCACTAGTGCGTAAAAACCATTCTAAATCAAGCTTCTTGTTCCTGTTGTGAAGTGAATGGTAATGACAGCAAATCCAGTTATGACACCTGACAAACTAATGGAAAATTTTATATATCGATATATACATATATATTTGAAGCATTGCGTCCCCATTATCCATTATTTCATCGACGTAGAAAGAAGACAAATGTCGCCAGATGTTAACACTTCATTTAATCTTCTCAACCGCTGATTTAAAACATCCAGGCATATATATATATGTATACCGGATACGGTTCACCAGAAGTCCAATACCCGTAAATTTCGTCGATCGAATTGTAAATTTCTCTTTGCATTCTCATTGGGGTTCATGGAATAATCGCCATTCGCTTCCGTTCGAGGAACCATTTTCTTCTCACTCAAAGTGCACATATTTGTTAAACGGAGAAAATCGATATTGAAGCTTTGTTTGGTCAATAATCTAACTAGGATTCTGTCAACGAGACATCGTAGACTATGCAATCCTAACAAGTGGACTAGCTTTCATTTACGCATTTAAGAGTAAAAAATAACTTATGCACTTGATAATTATTTTCACCCTACGGGAGGAAAACTAATACCAGCTGAACTTTGCACTTCATGTTCACATTCATCATAAATTCACTTTTGTTCATATGTGGAATACAGCAGACAACACGAAAATGACAGCTTGACCCGGAGACAGACACCTGTTAAACCTGTTTGCTATCTTATCCATTCGTACATTTATCGAAGTGTTTTCAGTGCATGAGTATGAGTTCTAGCCTTGGATGAACCCAGTGTTGTCTTCCTTCATTTGGCATTCAGGATTCAGACACTCGCGACCCGATCGCCACAGCTTTTTTGTTGACCGCATTTATACAGCCCAACCAGCCATGACCTCTGCACTGTTTTCATACAATTCATTCTTGGTACTTCAGTTAAAACTCAGTTGGTGCGCATC